TTGTTATACTATAATAATAGTAAGTCTTTTAATCTATATAGAGCTTATTTAAGCTTAACGCACTTCCTAGGTATTTAATATCCTTTAGGTAGCTTATAGATAACTATAGGGTATTAATCCCTTAAGGCGTTAAGGAAAGCTCTAATAATATTATATTAATATATCTTAAGGTTAAACTTAGCTCTAATAGCTATTATAGTCTTAAATATTTAAGCTACTAGGGTAGCTATATAGGTTAAATAAATTAAGTTAGTAAGCTATAGATCTCCTCTTACTACTATCCTTACTTTATACTTAATTAGGTAACTATCCTAATTAAGCTTATATATAAACACCTATTTAAGTAGGAGTAGATACTCTCCTATATTTAGCCTATTAATCCCCTCCTAGGTACTAGCTTTTAGTAGAGTATTAATTTCTTTATATACTATATCTCTAAATTACTATCCTATTTAGTAGTTATAGAGATTCTTCTATTATTTTAGCTCTTTTTATAGAGCGTCCTAGTGCGTATTTCTTTTAGGGTTTTTAGGAGATTTACTCCCTATTACTACTATAATTATAATATAGATTATAGCGTTTAGTTTAGGATATACTAAAAGATTATATAAGGGATTTCTAATTAGATCTATATCTAATAGATCTATTACTATATATATCCCTATACTTATAAAGCCTCCTAGTAGTTTATTAGGGTCCTATCCCTAAGCTTGCTTACTAATATATATTAGTAGTAGTCCTTTAACTTATAGTTTTCTACTTCTTCTAGGAGCTCTATATACTACTTATAAGGGATTTATAGGAGATATAGAATCTAGTCTTAAAGTAGGTAGGTAGGAGCTCTACTTACTACCCCTATAAGAGCTAGATAGGATACCCTTACCTATCTCTGTGCTCTTATAGAGTAACCTACTAATAGTACTCTCCCCTCTAGGTCTTTCTTAGGAGCTACCTATTATAGCGTTAAAGTAAGTTAGATTACTACTATCTTAGGTAGTAAGACCCTAATCTATAACCTATATAGATCCTTTATCTCCTATACTAAAGTTTAGTTCTAGTATTAGTTTAGGAGTTTAGAGCCTTATTAGCTTAAGGGACTTTATATAAATCCTTTATACTAAGCTAGCTATACTTAGTTCCTATACTAGAGGTGTCTGCTTAGGGGGTTATAAATTACTAGGCTAGCTAGCCTAATTATCTACCTCCTCTAGCTCTACCCTACCCCCTAGCTCCTATACTAGGTTTAGTCCTCCTTACTTACTAGACTCCTTATATTACTCTACTATAATATAAAGCTAATTAAAGATATTAAGCTCTTTATATACTTCTCCTATATTATAGATCTTATCTTTACTAATAATATTAACTATCTTTTAAGCTTCTAACTATTAAAGCTACTCTAGATCTTTCTCTTTATAGAAAAGATCTTTATTAAAGGTAATATTCTATATTATAATAATCTAATTAAGTAAGGGGATCTATATCCTATATATATTAGATACTCTATATCCTATTAGATATCTAATATAACCCTAAGGGTTTACCTTAAAAACCCTCTTATAACGCCTAGCTGCTTAATCTTTATTAAGGGGGTAAGCTTAATAGCTATAGGCGTATATTCTGCTCTAATTAGGGTAGAGATTAGTAGTTACCTCCCTTATCTACTCTAGTTGCTACTACCTAAAGTATCTAGTAAACTAATAATCTAGCACTTTATTAGGTAATATTATATTATAAGTATAGGATAGGCTTATATTATAAAGCTAAGTTGCTGCTTTAATAATTTTAGGCTAGAGCTTTATTAGTAGGTTAGCTCTAATCCTTATTTTTATTAATTTTATTATAATCTCTTACCCTACTCTTTCTACTCCTCTATTAGGTTTATAGGTATATATAGGTAAGCTCTTAATTTTAATACTATTATTAGCTACCTAAATCTAAAAGTAAGATTTACTACACTAAGAGAGTATTATAATATTATTATCTTATATAATCTTAACTATACTAAGCTTATATTAGTTAAGTATTAAGCTCGTAAAATTTTTAAACACCTATATAATCTTATTAAGGTTTTTAGCTTATAGTAGATAGGTATAAAGCTTTCCTAAGTAGTTACACTTTAATACTAAGATCTATTACTTATAAGCTATACCTATTAGTATATTAAATAGATCCTATAATACCTAGTAGTATAGATATAGTAATCTTTCCCTTAGTTATCTTAATATAACCTATTAGGCATGTGTAATAGCGTAGTACTTGTATTTGCTCCTAGGAGTTCCTCTAATCCTAATATTTATTACTAACTTAACTAGAGCTTTAAGCGCCTTAGGTCCTAAATAGCCTAATTATTAGTGCTAAAGCTCCTTACTATTATATTTTAGGTAAGTTATCTAGGATTATTAGGGTTATTTAGGCACTATACTTTAGATTATTAGATAAGGAGTAGAGGGCTTATATTCTAGAAAAGTTAAGTTAAACTTGCGTAGTAACTTAGCTAATATAATACTCTTCTAATAATCTAAACTATAAGGTAGTATCTAGCCTAAGGAACTAAACTCCTGCTTTAAGTAATTAAGCTTCTAATATAATATTTATATAAAAACCTTCTACTAATACTATATTAGTAAGTACTAAATCTTCTATTTTTAGACCTCTTAGTCTATTAAGAGTATTAGGGATTACTCTAGTCCCTCTACCTAAGATTAGAACAGCTTAAGTTCCTGCTTTAACTATCTTATATTTAACTAATCTAAACAAGCTTTCTTCTAGGTAGCTTATATTATTAACTAGGTGTACTACACCCCTATTATTAAAGATAGTGCTCTTTAATAGAGTATAAGCTTTAAAGTCTATAGTTAAATAGATCCTGTTTATCTTCTCTACTATTAATATAGCGTTAATTAGTGCTACCTAGATACTACCTAGATAGGTACTCGCGTTTTCTTTTGCCTTACTACTATAATCTTAATTATTAGGATAGGACTTAATTAGAGCTTTTCTTATCTCTTTAAATTTTTAATTCCTATTAATCTTTTTCTTAATCTCTAATTATTAAGTAGTAGTAAGCTTATTACCTATATTAGTCTAAGCTTTAATAATATTTTTATATTTAGGAGGTTTCTATAAGTAGGATCTACTATATAGGTATAAAGACTCCTTCTTAGGTTAATTAGAAGGTAGAGCTCCTATTATTATAAACACTCTAGGACCCTTAGAGCTTAATCTTATATTATTCTCTTAGAGAAGTAATAAATAGATTTTAGTAACCTAAGGGAGGTTATAAGTTAGCTCTCCTATTACTAACTTTTTAATAATCCTTTAAAATATAGTTTAACCCTAATCTAGTAAGATCCTAGTAGATAGAGCTTTAAGATAGTCCTATATAATAAGCTATCCTTTAATATTAGGAATATTATATACCTTAGCTTATATATATAGGATTATCTACTCCTTCTACTAGTAATTAGTATCTTAGCTACTTATCTTTACCTTAGTAAGATAAGCTTTATACTATAATCTTGCTAGTGTTATAGCGCTTAAATTAGTTAGCGCTAGGTTATTATAGAGTACTTAGATAAGTGCTTAGAGGGTTACTCTTCCTTAATTAATAAGCTCTATATAGGCTAGGGTAAGGATCCCTTAATCTACTATATTATTAACCTATATAAAAAGGTTCTAGATTACTAATAACTTTAATACCTAATCTAATAAGCAAGCTTAGTACTAGGCTATTTAGAGTTTATACTACTTACTTATTATATTAGATAGTATAATACCTATTAGTATACTAGGCTTAATAGGTTTATTCTTAAAGTAGTTTTTAGTATCCTAAGTATTAGGGTCTACCTCTACCTAGATCCCTTTAGTTAGGGCATAGTATCTAAATTAAATATACTAGGTAGGCTAGTTAGTTAATCTAGTAAGTAGAATATCCCCCTTTAGGATTTAGTTACTTATAGTAGAAGAGTAATAAGTAAGCTTCTACTTAAGAAATAGTATAAAGAAAGAGTAAAGCTTACTAGCTTAGTATTTAAGTTAAATAATACACTTAAATAGATAGGATAATCTTTAATAAGGTAAAGCGTAAACTAGGCTTATAATTATAGAAATCTAGATTACTAAGGTTAGGAATAATTTAGGAGATATATTATTAGATTATATCTACTATAATTAGACTTATATATATAGAGCTTTAGCTACCCTTACTAGAAGGTAAATAATTAGTAAACCTTCCTTACTAGAGCTCCTACTTTTTATTAGGCACTTAGTAGTAAGCTAGCAGTTGATTAGATAGTGGGTTATGCAGGGGTATTAACCAGGATTAATCGGATCAAGATGCTCCGTGATCCGGTTGATATCCCTCCTGCAACAATAATTAATTATAGGCTTATAAGGGGTGAGACAAATTAGTATTACTGCGTGGATGAGATAGTTCACGAGAGGTAAAGATTGCGAGATTGGCAAATAGAGCGAAGATAGATGATTAATTAATAATTGGCTCATAAGTTATGACTACATAAGATATATTAGTAGGGATAAGATCGTACGATGAATTAGTAGTGCTACCTAATCTTACAAGAGAATAGTTATAATTCATAAGATAGACTATAAACGGAGAGCATATATTAATTAGACTTCTAGCGTTAAAAACTTTTGTCTTTTAAAAGACCACTGTGTAATCAGTGCTACTATATAACGCTAACAGTCTATTCATAGGAAGGACTTGTCGCAGAGGTAAGATAAATTAGCGGAAGGAGCGTAGGAAGGAAGATTAGAAGGGGTAATATGGACCGGGGGAAGCAGATTAGGACTCGAAAAATATATTAAAATGAGTAAGATGGACTAGCGGAAGGAGCTTGGGGGGATGGATCAAAAGAGGCAAGCTAGAGTAGCTATACTGCTCCTGCAACACTATATAACTTGTTTTGAACTCTGAGTTCTCAAGACTTCTTATATCCTTATTTCTGTACGACATTATTGTACTATCTCTTACAACTATGCGACTCTACGCCCTTATTCCGCTCTACCTTTCAATGGTTTCTCTTACCACTGCTAAAGCCTGGCATCGCTGCAAATGTGAACGACAACTTACCAATGGAGGCACTGAAGCTAATCCAGCGTTAACTCGGAACGTTTGCGCTGCAAGTTTTAAAAATAGTGTACTACAGCCCCTTAGCACTACCATTTACAACTGCTAAACTTTTTAGGGCGAATGGCGTGAAGGAATGCAAGAGGTAAAATCCCTTCACCTTCAGAACCTATTAGCTCTAAAACTTTGACAGTGTCACGCTGCCTCGCGCAACCTATTTAACAAAGCTGATTTCGCTGCTGAGTGCGAAAAAATGGCTATTCACGGTTATTGGCCGGTCACCGATGCTGGGTTTGACTATGCTGCCAAGAAGAACCTGACCTGGAGTTGCCAAGCTAAATGCAGAGTCCACTGCGACTAGGGATGGGAGGATGTCAAGTGATTGGGCTAGGTTCGCTCAGCCAGTATGCATAGCAGCTCCAAAGAGGTGGCAAGCAGTATAGCTCTTGAGTCTGAATGAGAGTATCCTGGAACAGAATGCGGAGGTAGTCTCTCCGCATGTTTCCCATAGCCTTAGCTTATCCTATTAATACAGACACGTATGTAACCTATCACTACGGTACAAAATTGTTTACAGTAGAACGGTGTTCCAAAGGTTTACTATATAGGTGTAAACAACTTAATTTTGTACCCGTATAGCCCAAGCCTAGTTACCGGCAGTTGGGCGTA